ATGATCATAATCCAATACAAGTATAATTGAATGGGTCCGTGAGAGTGTGGATACGGTAAGATAGTGTATGTGCAGTGGTATGGGAGTGTTGGGTGAAGTGTGATCCAGCTGTCGATGAGGCAGAGACAGTTCTTGTGCGCCCAGTTACACATTACAGTGAATGTCTTTTTGCTGAAAGCCTCGCAGGTTTGAACACATTAATTAGCATCTAAACACGTTCAGAGTCAGTTTGACCTGCTGCTCCTATAACAGCTGCAGTCTGGGACAACATCTGCTTCTGCAGTGATGGGTAGAAACTGGGAAGCTGGTTGATTACAGTCCATTCTAGTTATTGTGCTGTTGCGTTCTCCGACAGCTGCAGTATTAGGGTTGGGTATCATCTGACTTTTAAAGACTAGAGCTGATACAATGAGTTACTGTGCCGCTACCTGAATAATCTTTTTCGATACCTTACTTTGAGGTTCGTTTCCACTGCATGATTCCGCTCAACTTGACTTGACTCACAGTTAGTACCAAGACCTTTTCTCCATTTTGTTTTCCACTGGGGGTCCATGTCATTGGTCCGACAGCCCATTGGTTCGACATCTCATTAGTCCGACTGTCTGCGGTGCTGAACGGCTCGCAGCAGGTGTATGGTGCACCGCAACCGGCTCTGGGTCAGCTGGGAAAGGCTTGAGGCGGAGCAGGCTCACGGCTTATGTGTTTGTCACTTTCTTTTCCATTTTAACCCACACCATGATCTTTTCCTGACCCTAACCAAGTGTCGACTTTGGAACAATGAGTTTAATATGGTCGGAACAATGGGATGTCGGACCAATGGGCAGTTCCCTCCACTGGTGGACAGTACCCACTTAGTGCAGGCTAGATATTTAACTGATTGTAGTGATGCCACTTGAAACCACCATGACATCTTTTCATCGCCAACCAAGCGTAGTCTTGTGGGGCGCCATTTTTTAAAACCTGTGTTGAGTGATTGAGAAGATTGCAGGTTTGTGCAGGATGTCGTGTGTTGCACTAGTGCTGATTCTGTCCAACCAATCAGTGGTCTGCAGTGTTTTAACTCCACCTCCTAAGCTCAGCTCGCTTGGAACTTTGACCTAGGTGTCAGCAAAAAATGTACCAGGTACTAGCCACAATTTTTGCTAATGGAAGAGCCGAGTCGTGCTGTGAAAGAGGCATAAGTCCACAGCCATGTTAGCTGCCGTGTCAGGTTGTACTTAGGCAAACATGAGCCTGAACATGCTCACAATGATAACGCTAACATGCAGGTATGATGTTTACCATGTCCTCCATGTTAGCTTAGTGTGTTAGCATGCTAACAGTTTAGAATTAGCACTAAACAGGAAGTACAGCTGAGACTGATGAGATTGTCATTTACTTTTGTCTTAAGTTAAAGTGTTGACCCTGCGATGGCGCTAGATGAAATGTTAATTCTTAGTTAGACATAAATGTGTGTAACAAATTCAATGGACATCCATCTAGTAGTTGTTGAAACTCCAACACACAAATATCAACCTCATTGTTGTGCTGAAGGAAATTCAATCAGGAGAGACTCTTTTTTGCTTTTGTGAAAACAATATTTATTTACTTGTGCACATAAGTATAATAAATCTGTGAAGTCTTTGGCGATTAGACCCCATTGAGATGTTATATATTAAAGGCGGGTGATGAATCCATGGTTGAATAGGGAACCCCCCAGGGTCTAGACGCTGATGGTTGTAGAGGTGGTGAAGATGCAATGAAGATGTGAAGAAGATGAAGAAGTGCTGATGATCTGGATGAGTAGAGGAACGGGCCTGTACTGAGTTCGTCCTGGACTCTGGATACGATGGTTGGAGGTGAACGGGGTGGGTAAAGGCAGATATAAAATTTTGCAGTAGCATCCTGATTGGCTGATAGAGATCGTGGCCAAGTTTGATTGTATGATGAGGAGGAGGAGATAACCATGGACCAGGAAGACCAGGAATATCTGCACAAAATTCCATGTCCATCCATACAAAATTTGTTGATATATTTCAGTGTGAACCAAAGCAGGGCACTGACTGACCTCAGGAATATCACCTTAATGAACCTATCGTCTTTGAGAGATTAGAGAGAGTCTTGTTTTATTCACAGGACTTGAACACGCGCTCATTATGTACAATTACGCGTAGAGTGTTGATGCTGCAGTTAATGCCATTTAAGTCCAGTCCAAGCTTTCATTCATTCTTTGGCTCACACCCAGAGGGAAATATCTGGGGCACAGGCTGCAGAGCAGCTCAGCTGTGACGTTGAAAGGTTAGTATAACATACAAAGCACATACCCATGATGTGATGTCACCACATCTCCCGTGATAAATCATCTTCAAGCATTGAGCACATGAAATATGTTGAGTCTTGTCATTTAGGGACGTGAGCTGGAGTTAAATTAACATCATAATTAATTACTATAAGATGCCGGTTGTTTGTATTGAGACATCCTCTCCTCTCCTCTTTGTTATTCTCATCTTGTGGGCGGGACCTTCCTTTTGTATGTAGCCAATAACAGTTTTCTCACACCTCAGACAGCCAATAGCAAACCTGCTCCGATGTCACATGTCCCTGCCACCGGCTGCAATCCAATCCCCTCTCCCGTGTTGTTAATATTAAAAGGCTGCAGTCTACCGACATGAGCTCATAGCAGCACACACACACACACACACACACACACACAGGAAACAAACAATGAGACATTATAATGATGCAGAGATAAACTGATTGCCCTGAAAACACTGTATGAAAAACTTCTAAGAACATCTTTGTATTCAAAACTGTTTGCTGATATTAGTTCATGAAGCATTGTTAAATTTGTGTGTAGAGAAAATCCCTTTCTGTCACCTCAGGCATCTCTCATTAATTTAAAGCTGATTCCTCCCTGAAAGTCGTTAATTGCACAGAAATCATAAAGGCGTACTCTGAAGGTCTGATTCCTCCATATCTGAGTAAATCAGTGTTTTGTGAATAATGTATCAGGAGCTCAATAATTGATCTTTAAGTGCACGGCAGCCTGCATGTACCTTTCTCTTTTATTTCTGGAAGTCAGATGGAAAATGTTTGTGGTTTTTCCAAATCATTTACATATATCGTATCGTATAAATATCCTGCACCCATTGTGTCGTACAGAATCTCTTTTCCATCATGCAAAAAAGATAAAAACTTGAATGAAAGGTGTGAATTTGTTTCCTCCAGGTGCTCCAGCTTCCTCCCACAGTCCAAAGACATGCAGGTTAATTGGTGACTCTAAATTGTCCGTAGGTGTGAATGTGAGTGTGAATGGTTGTCTGTCTCTATGTTTCAGCCCTGTGATAGTCTGGTGACCTGTCCAGGGTGAACCCTACCTCTCACCCAATGTCAGCTGGGATAGGCTCCAGCCCGCCATGACTCCAACAGGATAAGCGGTTACAGAGAATGAATAAATGAATTAATGGGCAAAAATCCCAGAATAAACATTGAGCATATTGTGATTGAAGTAGACCAAGAAACTCGACTTATGCTTCTCCTTTTGGCTGTTTTGAGGCTTTAGAAAAAAAAAAGAAAAGTGTCTCAGAGATGGAGAGAAAATTTTGCTAATGGTTTAGCCTTCTGCTAACTGGAGCCAAAGGCTCACAGCTGTGGCTTCAAGTCACATTTATGGAGTTAACTTTAGCTAGAGCCTCAAATCACAGTCCCCCAATCCCAAATGGATCCCTTCCAGACTTACTGACTCAAACCCTAAGCCCTGACAGACGAAGGACCAATTCCATTTCTTCCCCTTAGCCCTTGTCTTGGCCCTTCTTACGTGAGGGGAAGTGGTGTCCCAATTCTCCGTCAGGTTAGCTCTTACCATGATGAAGAATTGGGACACCACTTCCCCTCACGTGAATGCGCAAAACCAAGGGGAAGGGCCAAGACAAGGGCTAAGGGGAAGAAATGGAATTGGTCTTTCGTCTGTAAGGGCTTAGGGTTTGAGTCAACGAGTCTGTAAGGGATCCATTTGGGATTGGGGGGAGTGTGTCCTCCGCCTCACTCCCTGCCGCTACAGACCCCTCTGTCGGAAGCAGAGCAGGCAGCAGCTCTGGGGACCGACCCCCAGTCAGCAGCTGCAGCAACCCAAATACAGTCAGTGAAAACCCCAGCTCAGGTGAACTGGGCAGCATCATCTCCCTGCCAGATGAGCAAACTTTCTGTTGCTGCCATTACACAGGTTAGGCCTGGTGCTGCCCCTGGCCACCAGCCCAGGACTTCTGGTCTTGACTTAGTGCTGATTAGTTGTCATTCACTGTTGTCTCAGTTTAACAATATGAGATTCATGTTGTTTTTGTTAATTAAAAACCATGACAAGACACTGTAAACATCCCATGAACTGATATTTATGTCACCAGTTCTTTTATTTTATTTTTTACTTCTATCTTTTCTCTTTTTACCTGTCTTGACTTTTTTACATATATTTTTTCTAAATATTCATTTATTTTTTTCCCCTTTCTTCCTCTTTTTTTATGATCTGTAACTCCAGTATTAATATGTTATATCATTTCTTATAATGCGACAAAAACAAACAAACAAAACAACAACTGTGATTAAAGTAAATTTAGGTTACTGACGGGTAAATTTATCGTCAGCTCTTTTTTGAGAGGAACAGTTGGATGGAGACAGTGAAGAGGCTGAGTGAAATAAGTTTCATAACAGGAACATCATGGCTGCACACTGTGTGATGCTGGACACCCAGTGTGTGTGTGTGTGTGTGTGTGTGTGTGTGCTGTAAGAGCCCAGTGTGAAGTATCATCCTCCCTTTCTCTCTCTTTATCTCTCAGCCAAAGCCAGCTGGTACTAAGCAGAGGTATTCGTCCATCCCTACTCCCTCCTTTTTTCCTGCTGTCCCAGCTGCTCTCTCTACCTCTCTCTGTCTCCTCCTTTCTCACCCCTCCTCCTCCTCCTCCTCCTCCTCCTCCTCCTATCTCAACCTCCTTTCTACCGTCATTTCTCTCCTGTTCATATGTCCCGGCGAGACGTCGCAGACTGAGCCTGTGTGTGTGTGTGTACATAGAGGATGGCTCAGTGCTCAGGTGCAGTGCTCTGGGAACCAGTCAAGCAGGCAGCAGGACCAGTTCATTTACCCAGACGACAGAGCGCTCTGCTGGGTTAGGGGCTGGAGCTTGAGCCCCATCTTGGACCTCCAACCCTGGAGCTCTACTGACGTACCTGTAACTGTTTTTATACATCAATCAAGAGGACATTTTCACCTGACTCTGGATCATATCATTAACTGTTTTTGTATTTGCTATAACTGGCACTTGTTTTGCACTTTGAGCTCTGAGAAGTGGAAGCAGCTGCCTTCACAGCGGTGGAGCCTGAGGAGTATGTCCTGTCTGTGCCCTGCCCCAAACTGGACCTTTGCATCTGCACAGTGTGGATAGCTGCTGAGGGACACCAAGAACAAAAGACAGAGGGGGAATCTTGAAAACGAGGAGAGGAAAATCCTTCCTTCTCACACACCTGTGAGGGCTCCTCCTCTGACAAAAGCGCAGCCGAGGATACGGGAGGAACAAAAAGATAATTAGGAGCTGAGAAGAAAAGGCTAAAGAGGAGACTCTGGGTCCACCCTCCATTCATCCCTCCATCCATCCCTCCTTCTCCGGTTTCCCACCTGTGAGGATTAATTGGACTGGAGCAGCATGGCGCACGCCGCCTCGCAGCTGAAGAAAAAGGCGGATGAGAACCTCAACGCTGCGGAGGACGAGAAGGAAAAGAAGAAGGCGACGAGGAAGCGTTCACGCGAAGTGAAGAAAAAGGTAGAGAAAGAGAGAGAGGAGGAAAATACAGGAGAGAAAAGAAAGTAATGGAGCTGACACAGGGGAGAAAGAGAAGGGCTTGAGACGTGACGGTCTAGTGGAGTCTCTTTTGTCATGATGCAGCCTCCTCACACACACACACACACATTCATGCACATACACACCCAGTGTGATAAGAGGGGTGGTCCCGGTGGGAATACTGGGAGGGGGGTGGGAGGGTGGAAAAGACAGAGAAAGATGGACGAGTAGAGCGCACATACAGGGAAGAAAAGATAACGGGATTAAGCTATGGAGGGCAGATTGGTATTTTAGGCACTGGTGTTGCTATTAATATGTGAAAGAGACGAGTTCACTGGTACTGCTGAGTTATAAAATATCTCCAGTGGCATTGTTTTCATTTTAAAAAAAGGTCCCTGTACTATATCACACACACAGATATATAATCTCACACACTTTAAATTTGTTTTCTAATTAAACCTCATTATATGTTCAGCTTTACCCCACTTTGATAGGACGCCTGTGTGTGAGTGTGTGTGTGTGTGTGTGTGTGTGACTTGTCCTTAGTCACCCCCGCTACGTCTCCATGTTAACTTTCTTGTATGAAAACATTTATCTTCATCTCAACACACTTTCCCACCTCCGCTGCTTCGTCTCCCTCTGCTGAGATGTACTAACGTGTGTTTTCTGGATATTTCCATGTTAAATGTGTGTGTGAATGTTCACCGGAGTCAAAAGGCGTCAGCAGTCACACCCTGCGGTTAGGTGTGGGTTGTTCCTGTGTGTGCACATGCGTCACCGTGCAAGGACAAAGTTAAGACGCACACAAACATGCATATGAGGTGATAAATAGGTCTGACTTGAAATCGATAATCGTTCTCAGTGTGGTTTGACAAAAGTCGACGCTGATGTCGAGTGTTTGAGGAACTTTGTCGACCTGTGTGACGAACTGTGATTGGGCCCGCGGTGAAAATCGTTTGCCTGAGTGTGCGCACATGTTGACATTTGGGCTTGTGCACATGTGTGTGTGTGTGAGCGCTAGCCTGAGGCCATAATTAGTCTGGGGTTAGCCACCTGTCACGACGAGTCAATAGCAGTGACCTCATTTGCGTCAAGGTCAACATGGAAAGAGAGGTGACTGCTTGTGGTCACAGGAAGTCGGGGGTGTTGTGAGGCAGCAGTTGTGCCTCAAAGACAGGCAACAAGAGTGTTTTTATAAGTTGTAGTAATTCTGACTCTTGTCTGTCAGGTGCAAACAAGGAAGTTTGGTTATGTTGATACAAAATATGTTTTTATCCACCTGTTTTTATGCACGTTTTCGATCTGCGCCTTGAAATATTGCCAAAAGACTTTAGGGTGTAGTCACATATAGGCGATGCAGACGAGTCACTGTTGCCTGCTGAGGCAATATTCATGCTGGATGTGACGCACACAGAAAACTAGCTTGCTAACAAATATCACAAATATATCTCTGCTGGAAAATGGTGGATTGCCCCCTCTGGGTTGGGAGTGCACTCACAAGTGAGGGTGGAATAGAGCGTGAGATGGATCGGCGGTTTGGTGTGGCGTCTCCAGAAGACGAAGCTTTCGATTTACTGGTCCATCTACGTCCCAACCCTCACCTATGGTCATGAGCTCTGGGTAGTGACCGAAAGAATAAGATCTTGGATACAAGCAGTCAAAATGAGTTTCCTCCGTAGGGTGTCTGGGCTCAGCTGTAGAGATAGGGTGAGGAGCTCAGACATCCAGAGGGAGCTCAGAGTAGAGCCGCTGCTCCTTCATGGCAAAAGGGGTCATTTGGGGTGGTTCGGGCATCTGATTAAGATGCCGCCTCGCATTAGAGGTGTTCCGGGCACGTCCCACTGGTAGGAGGCCCCGGGGCAGACCCAGAACATGCTGGAGGGATTACATATCTCGTCTGGCCTGGGAACACCCTCGGGGTCTCCCAGGAGGAGCTGGAAAGCGTTGTTGAGGAGAGGGACGGCTGGGGTGCTTTGCTTGGCCTGCTGCCCCCGCAACCTGGCCCTGGTTTCTTTGCATATGACATTACACATCAGTGCCCTGAACACATGAAGGCGAAAACTACCAACACTGCACAAATGCTCATGATGCGCACTCTTTACTTAACTCAACTCAAACTTTATTTATAAAGCACATTTAAAACAACCAAGGTTGACCGAAGTGCTGAACAGGTCAATAGAAATAAACAAGCAAATACAATGAGGCACCCAATAGTACACCACAGTAACAACCATAAGATACATAAAATACAATACAATAAAATAAAATACAAGGGTTATAAAATAAGATAAAAATAAGATAAAATGTTTGGGTGTCCAGCTCAACCTGAGTTAAAAGCCTGAGAGAAGAAGCAGTGGCAGATGTGGCTCAAAAACCTCCATCTTCAGTCTAGATGAGAGGAGTCAACTAATTTTAAATGTAAATGTTAAAGCATGGTGTTAAACACACATCGAGTTGGATGCAATAACAATGTGCTGTGACAACTTCTCTTTTTGTCTAGCTACAACCCAGATTTTTAACCGCATTTGACCAGACCTCTGGGGATGGTTGACCTAGTAGGTAGAAAATAGTAGCTAATCTTAGTCAAAGTTAGCTAGTGAAGTTAGCCTGACAGCTTTGCATCCATGTGCAGAATTGGAAATGTAAAGGGCAGTTACACACAAGCACATTTACTCACCTGGCCAAAAAACAAGATGGCAGCCATTTCAATCACGGATCCAACAGCACACAAAATACTTACATGTATGGTCCACTAGACTCTTTTATGCTTTCAGCAGCATGCCATGCAACTTTAGTAACGTTAGGGGGTCTAGAGGATGAAGTAAGTTGTGATAATGGTTGTGTCTGCACTGAGCAAATCAGTCAACCCAGCCATCTTTTGTATGTGGGGCCCATGTGAGTAGTAAACGGGCTGAAAAATGGGCCATGTATTGAATCGTTCATGGGTTACATATTGGCCCCATGCCCCATACACATGTGAGCCCCAGATGAGATGCCCGTTTTGAGCCCATACCCACTCGGTAGCCAGGTAATCCTAGCATAACCATGTGGGTCACACTTCGATAAAGCTATCATTGTGGGCAGTTAGCATGGGGCCAATATGGAGCCCATGGACGATCCCATATAGGGCCCATTTTTCAACCCATTTACTTCCCACATGGGCCCCACATACAAATGCTGGCAAGAAAGTTGTGGGAAAAATCACATTTGCTCATTTTGTATGGATCACATTCAACATGAGTATCGATTTTCTGACAATACCTGCTGCCTGTAGCTTCACTTTCCTCTATATCCAGTTCATACAGTGTCACTTCCTGCTCTCCATCTGAATTTTGCGCATCTTAATAGCCGTATTGCAAACAAACTGTTCTGTAATTTCTCAGGTGAGGACTGTCTCTATTGTCAGTGTTTTTATTTGGTGTTTAACTTTCAGTGTGGATTTTTTCTTTAGAGACAAAAGAACAACAATGAATTTGTAATTAATCCCCTTCATGTATCCGTCACGGTTTCCACCAGTATTGTAAATTACGTTACACTCAGATTTTGACTCCAGTATTGATCAAAATGGATCAGTCCTGCTGAGTGTGTTGGATGAGTAATAGTACTGCATAATGACGTGCTTTCATCAAACTCAAGGCTGAGCTCTTCTTGAATTCTGACATTGAGGAATCTGAATAGCTGAATGGAGGAGACGAGGGAGGTTTGACCTTGAGGCTGAAACTCGAGCCTGTATCACAGATTTATGGTAACAGGTGAGGGAAACGTGTTGCTGTAGTAATGTGTGTGTGTGTGTGTGTGTGTGTGTGTGTATAGGGTGACATCAGCAGTTTCTCGGCGTTTGTAGCGTAATGTTGGCGGGAGGGTGTCGGCTATCCTGGGCTCACTCAAGGTAAATCTATAACACTGTCTGCCCCGGGCCAATTCTTGGCATCACGGCACAAAAAAAAATATCCTCTCCCTCATCGGATCACATCACCTCAATTACCGTTCTCCTCTTTCCCTCCCCTCCTCTCGCTTTACCTCACCCTGCCTCGCTGTCTCCAGGCTTTTTGTCTCCCTCTCAGACAATATAGGTGTAACAGATGATACACCTCACGCTAGATGTCAATGTCTCCCTCTTTATCTTAGTTAAAGGTTCTTGAGGGAATAACTATCTCAGATTCGGAGACAGGGCATATTAGCGTAGCATCGCTGAAAGCCTGAAGGCAGACAAACAGCTTTCCTGATTCTATCTTAAGTTAAAAAATCCTCCAGTATCCTCCAAGTTGTCTTATTTACACAGTTTATCTTGTTAATTTAACCCACACATGAACAGAAATGTGGGGGGCACGTGTGGGATTAGTTAACCTAGCTAGCACTACAGCTAGCAAGCTAATCTGCTGCTGTAGCATGTTCTAGCTAGATCACGCTAGCTTTTTGTTTGACAGTGTCGTATGAGTTTTTATTAAAAATATTGCAATTGATACACTTTTTGTCGGCCTTTCTAAATGTAGATTTAACAGGTGATACGGTCGAAGCTAGATTTCAGTGTCTCCCCCTTTACCTTAGCTAAAGGATCTTAAAGGAACAGCTATCTCAGAGTCAGAGTCAGGACGTGTTAGCGTAACATAGCTTGAGTTAGGGATGCACCGAAATGAAGTAGTATCACGATACCACAGTGAAAATGAGGCAGATGTGCCTTTTGTCATTTATAAAAAGATAAATCACTTTTCTATAATACATCAATGATATTTCAATGGAATAAATTACTTATTGACTTATTCATACTTCAAAAACAGCATCAATAAGTGATGAACATAGGGGGGATCAAAATAAAATAAATAAATAAAATAAGAATCAACCAGCCACCCTCCTCCCCTGACAGTCCCTTCATAAGTAAAGAACAGTCCCTAAAGTGCGGTGAGGTTTGTGGGCCGTGAACGGCTCGTTTCTCCTCTGACACGTCACATACCTGTGTTCGGCTGGCTCGACTGTTCAGGTAC